TAACAAAAGCCATTCAAATATTCATTACATTAAGGGAGCCTATGAAGCCTATCAAGCCTAAGAAGACTAAGAGGAATATTAGAAATATTTTCACTCTATTAAAACACTATAACATGTTCCCAGATAGTGAGAAAGAGAAAGTGCCGATACCGTATAAATCTACCCCGCGATAGTATCCTTTCTTAACGTGTATTCTTAATGCGTGGTGCTTGTAAGGTGAATACTTTTTAGGCGACGAATAGGCAATAGTTAAAAAATAGTAATAAAAACGGATGGAAGTACAAATGTATATTCAAATTTTGAATCGATTTAAGCCCATCTGTCTACCCGCTTGACCGCCTCCGGAATGTCTTTGCTAAACACTCCACTAGTCGCGAAAAAATTCAGATGCCATTCTTAAACTAAGGGCACCTCTGCCTTTAAAAGCAAAAAAGAAAAAAAAAACGAACGTTTTCTGCTTGCGACTAATGTCCTACAACAAATATAGCGATACAAATGTTCAAGTGTATCCAATTATCTTGTGCTTTGCAATGGAAACTTGCTTTTATAAACTTTGTCCAATTGACGGCAATCTCTTTGTGATCCTGACTAAACCCATATAACGTAACTTGCTCTGTTTTCTTAAGCGGTTTACCTTTGAAGATTAAATTAGCTCACAAACTCCAAAATTACTTTTAAATCTTCTTCAATGCATTGCATTAACAGTATAGAGATTGTATAATTCTTGTGACTTTGCAGGAACTGCACATATGATGTAGATAACTTCTGATATATGGATATAACTGTTGATATATAGATGGCTGTGGTTAACAAATATAGGCAACAAGAGGTAAATTTCGTATTGCGAGAGAAACTTTAGCCTAAATCCAAGCATTTGTTCTCCCCACCCAATTGTAATCTATCAAAGGATTCATGTTCAGCAACCATCAAGGAATTAATATCTACGCTTAAATCCTGTCGACTTGAACAGGTCTGAAAGAAAACTTTAGCTTTGGCTTCATTCGGTGTTTGACGTAACTCTTCTTACAGTACAGCGTACAAAAGTGGAAAACAATCAACTACGGATGTCTAATATCATAGAGTATGTAGAGTATAAATTTTGTTTTTTCTTCCTTTGTAATCTTTATCTCTTTTAATCTAACGGTGTAGGGTATACGGCTATGGTCAATCAGTCAGAGGATGCCTCCTATACGTATTACACGGCAATTATCATAAAATAATGGGGACAGAGATAGGGAATAATAGCGACCTAGTGCATGTGCGCCTTTACTAAACAAGCACTTACTGATAGCTCCGACCAAGTAATTTCACGTTTATAAAAAAATGCCTCCTATGAAAAGTTTTCTTTGGAAAAATTTGCAAGAATAATATCCTTTGGTAAGCCAATGAAAATAGTAGCTGCCTTATAGAAGATGCTGTTTCGCTTTCAAAATTGAAAAAGTTTTCAGTTTCTTGTAAGTTTTTTTTTTTTTTTGAAAATTTCCAAAAAAAGTTATTGTTAACAACGCCGTTGACAACTGTCGCTATTATTTAGGAGAAACCGTATGTTTTCTTCAATTACTTTTAATATCTCAAAAAAAAAAAAAAGGCAGAAAATTCATAAGAAAATAATATTGAGCTCATACAAGAAAACATTTAGTAAAAAGTTTGCAAAAAGGAAAAAGTTTCCTATGCACATACATACGTAGATATATGTTTAAGGCATTTAGACGACATTTCGTATTTGAAAAGGTCTCCCGTTTTCCATTAAATTAAATGACAGAAATTAAAAGTGACTCGCAAAAAAAAAAAAAAAAAAAAAATTACAAAGAATATTATTTAAATGTCTTTTAAAATTAATTTAATCAAAAATATGTTAAAAAAATAATTTTTATTTTTCTTTAAATCAATTATTTAGATTACTTTAAATTTTGCAAAATAAAATAAGTAAAAGAAAATTCGTTCAGGAAACAACTTCGATAATATTCCAAGAAGCAGAAGAAAATTACGCAGCACTTGTGATAATAAAACGTACTGACGGTTCTTTCATTCAAATTAAACTAAACTCGCTTGCAAGGAGCTGAAAATATCTTTCTGGCTTCGAAAAATGGAAATCAAAGCGAAAAGTAAAAAATTGATGAAATTTCATTTTCAAAAAAAGTCTCCCACCTACAAAAAAAAAAAAAAAAAAAAAACCAATAAAGAATTCGTTCTAAAGAATCAGAACGCATACACTTACATATATGAATGCAAACATTATAAAACAAAAAAAAAAAAAAATAATAATAATAATAATAATAATAAGACTTTTAACTGAAAAGGAAATTTTCTTTTGACAAAGATCAGATATCCTTTTGTAAGCAACTCAGCAAGAAGAACAAGAAGAAGAAGAAGAAATGGAAACACAAAGAAATATTGTATTGTAAGGACAACTACTACTACTACTATTACTACTACTACGACGACCGCTGTTACTATACCTACTACAAGGATAGATTCCTAAATGACATTCTTTTCATATATCATTACATCTTAACGCAGCCACATAGATGGAGAAAACAACAAAATAGTAAAAATGAAAGTAAGAGAATAAACGATAATTTCATGTGTATATGTAAAAGAAATAAACGCAACACAAGAGCCAAACACTATGAATAGATAGATTTGAGGTTAACAAGGGTAAGTTTTTCGTTTGTTGTATTCTTTTAAAGATCATTTCCCTTCTACGCACGTATGAGCGCAACTCGACTCGATCGACAATTCTGTTAACCAGCATTCTATCTTAACAGTTTGTATACATTTTAAAGGATTCAAAAGTTTCTGTTATATAAGCAGTCAGTACACATAACTAAGTGTTTTTTAACAGACGCCCCATCATCAAGCGCAGATTTTGATGATATAGGTCCGTCCATCCTTCAATGATAGCCGATTCTAAATTGCCTAAAGTAGAGATAAATAATTGAAATTTGCTTTCTCTTAACTAATTTCCTCCAATCACATGTAAAAATATGCGTGCGATCGTTAAGAAACTGAAACAATCTTAAAAATAATTGAACAAATATGAATGTCAAGAACGTGTTTATCTATCCTAATGTGTAGAGAATTTCCCATAACTTTTGCTAAAGCAAGTGTGAAGGATAGGCGTGGCGAGGATTGGAAATATTGAAGTACATATAATGTGCCATTACCACCCATTCATTTATCATTTGGCAAAGATAAAGTTCAAGAATTTGAAATCGTTCGATATGATTATTACCATAGTAAGCATTTCTCGCATGATCTTAACAAGATATTAAGGTGGAAAAAAAGAGTTGAGCTATAGTAATAGAGGCAATAGTCTGAGATGCAATTTAAAAGTTCAAAATTGCTTTCTTCTTCTTCTTAAGAAAGAAAGATCATATGCGCATCGATTGATGCGCATTTATCTCAAGCAGGAACTATCCAATGACATGATATAGCCAAAAGGATGTGGATACACTCTAAGTGCTTAGATTATTCTAGTGTGGTTAATAGGCAATATTAACGTTTCCTGAGAATCGTAAATCGCGCATAAAACGAACGCATCCATAAATGAAAGGAAACAACGACTTATCCTACTACAAATACTTCCCTTTTCCGTATAGCTTTAGCTATTTTGCACGCATTTATGTTTGAATATCTTTTAGTTGATGTTATTAAATTGTATAGTTTTTGTAGAGATTAGCCATGCGGAGGGTATAGTTGAGCGAATTCAGTTTGCGAATAACTGAAAGAATTTTATATGCGCTATGCAAATGAAAATTTAACAATGGGAAAAACCCTTAGGGGAAGGTGTAATTAACTTATATAGGTTTATAGCAGTTTTAAGGATTAATTTTTTTTGTAAAAATCCCTAAAATATTGCAAATTCATGGACAGGAGTATTTTAAAGTGCGTACAGGTATTCAGTTGGTTGATTAATAGCACAACTCGTCCTTAATACAAACGTAAATCGAAATATATTTTTGAAAATCACGTTTTTTTTTTTTTCTTTCATTTTTATTTTTATCATTCAGTTAGTTAATGACAACCAATAACTGGGAAGAATTTTCATTTTCTAATATTTTGGTATTTCCGAGGAGAATAATAAATATCGCGACCATTGTAAACTGCAAAGTTTATTACAATATACATTATAAAACGGCGGCGCTAAACTAGAGCGCCTTGGCTGTCTACAGACAAAGTACATTGTGTATATATGCCTGTATGCGAGCAGAGTAGTCGGACATACTGTTAGCTTTCTTTTCATATTGTAAAATGTTAAACCTGTTTAAAAACCCAACCAACCAACCAACCAACCAACCAACCAACCAACTAACTAACCAACCAACATACCTGCACTATACTGTAATCGCTGACTCTATTCATATATTTTTAGTTGATTTACTCTCGTCGTGCATTGTGGCTTACTCTCTGTGCCGCTCTCTGAAAAAATGAAAATAAAGCCTAGAACTATTTAGAAGATCACTTGTGTGTACACAAAATGTAAAATGTTGAGAAATATCAAAAAAAAAAAAAAAAAAAAAAAGAAAAAGACCCTTAACAGAAAACCTTTTTAAGCAGGTAGTTAATGTCACACACAACCACCAGTTTGTTTATGTTTGCTTGGCTGGTTGGGTCGATAGAGTACTTAAGGGTCTGCAACAGGACGAAGGGTATCATTGTGGAATACGTTTGCGAAGAGTGAACAACACGAAGCAAACAACTCGTTTCTAAACATTTTTATATATATATAAATATATATATATATATATATTTATATATATATATATGTATATATTTGTATACAGCGCAATTTCATTCATCACTCGGCTTGAAACTAAGCACGCATTTACAAGAAAAAAAAAAAAGAGTTTATTATCTCAGTTGTTTCTAAACGATCATCAAGCGAAGACGTAGGTTACGCGAGCGACGATAAAAGTGTGGATTTAAAATAGAACTTTCGTAATTTTGTGGATTATTATCGTTTCATTTTTTATATTCGTTCGTTCTTTTTTTTTTTTTTTTTTTTTTAAAACTTCAACAAATTCATTTAAATAATAAAATAAGAGCATAATGGCTAGTGTTTGCATGACCCAGAATAAATATCAACACCAACAACAGCAGCAACATTTTCACATTATCAATCAAAATATGACAATTTTAACGCAACAACAAAATGCTTCCTATCAACTTCAGTTTCTAAATAACGCCAAATTACCAGCTATTGCACCCGCTCCCACGAAAATATTGGGTAATAGTAATATGCATAACATACAACCATCACCGAGCGCGATGATCGGTAAAAAGCGTTACACTTACGCCAATATGCCGTACGGCGAACAATTACCATCGGTGGCCCGTCGTAATGCCCGTGAACGTAATCGTGTTAAGCAAGTTAATAATGGCTTTGCTAATTTGCGTCAACGCATACCGCAATCAATTATAAATGCGCTGTCTCATGGTGGACGCGGCGCTAGTAAAAAACTCTCCAAAGTTGATACACTACGTATTGCTGTCGAATATATACGAAGCTTGCAAAATCTTTTGGAATCTTCTCAGCCCTTTGTCGATAATTCGGTCAACAGTAATGGCAGTTTGCATTTTGATGATAGCAGTACTGATAGTAACAGTAATTATGTATGCTCCCCGTTAAATAGTCCTACAGATGCTCAAGCCTATCAGTTGGCTCATTCACCCACGCCCTCCTACTCTGATTCTGATATATCCATTAATGGTATCAATAGTTTCTTGCAACCTTTAAAAATACAAGAACCAGAACAGCAACAACAACAAGAGCAGCAGCAGCAGCAGCAGCATCAGCAGCAGCAACAAGAATTCAAATTTGATGCATTCGAGCAACCTGACGATGAGGAACTTTTAGATTACATCTCCTCTTGGCAAGACGAGTAAAAAAATATCTTTGTTCCCCGTTGCACATAAAGCAGCTACACGAACCCGCCTTCTTACATAACACAGAAGCCTCACGGACAGACGTCAAAATTAATAAACAATATAAATAAAATAGATTTAATATTAAAAGCGTGAGATCGACATAAGCAACACCCAGTGAAGCGCACCTATAAACATTTGCATTTTTCTGAATCGATCGATACGGAAAAGCGCATATCGTATTGTCACAATTCATCGACCCAAGAGTTCCTTAGATGGAATTATGTACAAATTTTGTAAATATTTTTTATATATATATTCATGTAATTGCTTGCACAATAAAGCAGTGCCTTTAGTATTATTAGGTTATTAAATATAAACAAGTAAACAAACATAGATTTATTAAATACCGGAGGACAATGATTAAAAGCATAAATAGCTTAAGATCAGTATAAGTAAGAGAACATGGAAGACTCTAAACTATTTTGAATTTAAGCTACGTTTTTTTTTTTTTTTTTAAAAATACAAACAAAAAAAAAAGTAAAAAACAAAAATTAAATGTCTATTTTTTTATGATTTATTAAAAGAACTGCAACACCTGTAGGGGAGAAGGAAATTTTTAAAATAAATATACATTTATTTATTTATTTATTTTTTCTTTTGGAGTGCATTTCCCAAAAACCCATTTAAACGATGATTTTGAAATACTTATATTAGTTGAATTTTTACAACATTATTGCCGGTAACTTTAATTATTTTTTTGTACCGGAATATATGTAAAGCGTCTAGCAATGTATTTTGCTTGGCAGACATTACATAAAGTTGGGTTATGTTGTAAAAATATATTCGCACATATTTAGCATCCGGGATACTTGCTGAGATCCTGAGATGTCAAAAAACTCTGATCAGGAATACTTACAAAGCCCATCTCGCAATTATAACAAAAGTAAATTGATCGCAAAAGCCTTAAGACAATTTATAATTTTCCTTTTTGTTATATAATCAAGAAAAGATTACCGGTTTTTTTTTTTTTTTTTCTAAGCGGGGAAAAGTATTAAGAGCCTTAAGTCAATGTGGGATTTTCACCGCACTGAAAATCTCGTAAACAGTCGACGGTAGTCCTCCTGGAATTACCATTAAGTTTTACGTCGAGAGAATCCTCTGAGCCTTAGCTCAAATCGTCTACCATATCTGTATGTCGCCGTAAGCCGCATTCTTCGCTCAACGTTGTTATTATTACGTTACTTACTCACCAGATTGTCCTGTGTCATCCTTACTCCAAAGCCTGGTTTAACGCCTAGCCCGTAGCTGCGTATGTGTGCATCGATTTTTTTTTAGTAAAATTGATAGTTTTATCACATCTCTCTCTCTCTCTCTCTCTTTCTCCCTCTCTCTCTCTCTCTCCTTCTCGCCCTCTCTCTCTTAGAAATAAAAGCAAAAAGGACTGAGTCATATTCACACGTGCCCTATAAACTATGATGTTCGTCGTTTTATGGCTGCTTTAGCATATATAAGTAATTTTTGGCAATCACGACTATGCAAGTTTTATGTATAATCATTTGATAAATTTTTTATGCATTTTCAATTTGGCCAAGAAAAATAGGGAAACCATAGGGAAGTTTTATACCAATGCAATTTTGCTTACATCTGACATCTTCAATTTCTCTGAAGAAGGAGCCTAAAATTTGCTTCCAATTCGAATAGATTGTATTGGGTTTGATAGCGCTTCAGCCTAGTACGCATAAATCTGAAATGATTTCCTAAACATCTAGTGCAAGAAATGTCGAAAGCATGTCGGGTGAGAACCACTCATAGAGCTTGCAGGGACGAAATTGCTATACCGGAATAAAAATCTTGAATTCTTCATAAGTCTCAGATTTATCTAAGTGGCAAGTAATAGGCTCGGTGGAGTAAAGCAGAAAAACCGCAAGCTGAAATAGCTTTATATTCGATAGTATACCATAGACGAAATCTGTTTCTTTTTTTTTCATGTTTGAGCAGCGGGGATGTCCTCTGTAGGTGTAGATACTGTGTGATGGCGGTGGGCGAATTTTTTCTTAAGCGCGTGTTAGTGGTTATATTTTATGCATTTATTATCTTAGGAGATATGTCCGAGCTTAGAATCGAGTGCCTCCAGTTTGTTGAATAAGAAAATTTCGTATTTTTTTTTATTATTTTTGTAAGTGACAACTGCGCACTATAATGGATATGGTAATGCGTGAAATAAGATTCGAAGAAATGAAAAGAATTTTTTCCCAAAAAAGTTTTGCTTAACTAAATGATATTCCAATTAAATGGGTGATCACTATACATTAATATAATCATGTGTAACGTGACATTTACGTTATATGTTTACTTTAGTCTTACAAAAAGAAGTTCCAAAGAACTTAATGATCCCTATCTTACTAAGAACTTGAACGCATCTCTAATGAGACCAATGCTTGGCTTCTTAATTATAGCTGGCGTGTGTGTGTTCAACGGGACTTTATATTGTTTACTTTGTCCTTTTCGGATTCTTTAAAAACCCAGTTGCTGTTATGTTTTTTTTTTTTTTTTTTCTTAAATGAACAGTCGTTCGGGGAATGTGGTATATTCGTGTAATGCTACGATGGCCGGGAACGATGTAAGGAGAGACAAAGTGACAGGAATATGGCGGATTCGTAATGGATGTGTTACGCCTTTACCGCGGTGTATTAAGTTTTAGTGGGCTACTGAAAATAATTTGGATTGACGTTTTTTCTTTTTTTTGTAAGTCAAGTTGTTCTGCTTATCTGTCAATTTTTTTGTGTGTTTCATCTATAAGTCACAATTTTTGAGATATTTTGACAAAATTTCCTATATCGACATGTTTTTGCCCAAGAACGAACGCTGCCGAAAGTGGTCGTAATCGGACCAACCGCGTCCCAAATAACGCCTCATTTTGAAAAGTCGTTACACGAATATCTGAGATACCGATCTATGCGGCATCACCTTTTGAATCCCTTTCTAAATCGGGTTGAGCACCGTCCCACCGTCAGTCCAACCTGTTTTCTTCTTTTCAATCTGGCTGCAATTTGTACGATATTTAATAAAGTTTTGTAGACTGACGTGTTTTGGCCCAAAGATGACGCTTTTGAAAATTGCTCGGATCGAACCACTTTTCTGACCACCTCACTCATAGCGTCTTATTTTAAAAAGTCGTTAAATAATTAACTGCAGGTTGGTGTAGGGTATTTAATGGTCGACTGTGGCCCACTATAGAGCACTTGTCTTCACTTGTTTTTTTTTTGTGATTTTTCCGGAAAAGTGAAAAAAATTGATGTTCCAAGACTGAATTTTTACAGAAGGCATTTACATGAAATGGCATGAGCCAAAATTCATGTTGATATCCTTTACAGTTCCATTTTTGTCACAAAGAAAAAAAAAAACATTTACTTGATGTCCTTAACAATTGCAATCATCGTTCAGCTATGCGTTCACTGAATGCATTTTAAAGACAAGACTTTTCTTTTTAATGAAAATTCACAAATGTACGTATATATGTAATAGCATATCTAGATCGTAATTATGTTTAGAAAACTTAATGCTTGAAAGATATGATAAAGAAGAAAAAGATGCCAAAAATGGGAGAAAATTATTATTAAATTCGTTTATCATATTTCTCTTATTGTCGTTAAGCACAAGCGACTTTATCTATCGTCGTTAACGTAAACGACAAATACACATATATGTAATAAAGTTACAAAAGAGCCTTGGCATTGTACCTGAAATCTGAAATCTTTTATTTGTATTCCTTATAATATTTGAATGAAATTATTTTTAATTCATACTTTTTATAGCGTAGAAATACAATAAACAATTGCGATTAATAGCATATGTATATGTATATATATATATATATATATATATAAGCTCAAGCTGAACGCAGATGAGAATTTCTTCTTTATATACATAAAAATTCATTATATTTCAGTCAAAAATGTCTTTATTTTTCATAAAAATTTCTTAAGGAGGAAGTACAGGAAGCACCAAAGCAATGTGGAGGGATTAAAAATTTTAAAAGAGAAGAAAAAGAAGATTGCGATATAGAATTTATTTTTTTTTTTTTTATATATACTTCCAAATTTTGCATTTTTATGTGTCTAAGAAAATACAACAACAATATAACGAATTATTATTGTCCTAGAGATGAAATTAAATACGCCAGCTTAGGCGGACCTGATAATGACGATGATGACAATGATGATAATGATGATAATGACGATGATGATGATGATGATGATGTTGAAGTTGATGATGAATTGAATGGAACATTGTTACCGGATATCAAAGAAGTTGTAGTAAAAGAAATTTAAACCTGCTTAAAACAATATATATATATATATGTATATATTGCGAGAGAGAGAGAGAGAGTAAGATATAGAGATAGAATATAGGCCGGGATCGATTTGTTCTATAGTTTCTTTACTTCCTCAGCAAATACATATTGCTTTTCTAAGCAGTTTTCGCTTAAAATTGTAACAATAAAGAATCCGGAGAATAAAAGGAAAATGCAACAATATCGTTAAACATATTTGAGAAGGTGTCAAAATTCTAGTTAAGCCAATGATGTAATATTTGCTAAGATGTATTAGCCTTTAGCGATTTTTCTCAATTTTTTTTTATTTTTTATTTTTTCTATTTTTCTGTCTTTCTAATAAAACAGAAAATCTAAACGAGATTTCAGATCAAATATCATTTTTTTTAAAAAAGATTCTTTTTTGCGCAGGTGTCTATATTTATATATAGATATATATATATATATATATCTGTGTGTCAGAGAATCTTTTTTAAAA